TGTTAAGAAGACATCGAAAGGCTGTTCAATTGATATGGATTCAATGGCACCATTCCCCCATTTTCCCTTTGAATGTGCACACTTGTGTGCATTCACCCTAAGATAAGGTGGGGTCTTCTGACCCACTTGTCTGTACTTCTAATGTGTATGTGTGGTTATAGGAAGGAAGAAACAGGTCAAGGGAGGCGACTTCGAACGACCTCAAGCCATTGGGCATTCCTTTTGATCTATGAGGGCACCCAGGCGAGTAGTCTGAGCATGTCATGAACCCACGTGAGGTCAGTCCCTCCTCATGACCAAATTCCTCTATCAGCGGTTGGTATTCCTTCTCGTGTCCTCTTTACAGGATTTTCGAGAGAGCAATCTCCGGTCCTGAGCTCGTTGTAAACTTGGAGCCACACCACCAAGTCATCACGACCCGGAGGGCGAGATCAAGGCACCTAATCATACACACCGTACGCTAGAAGCTTCTATGCCAGTCTGCACGGCCGCTCAACTGTCGCGCGCACTTACACATAGATCATTACTGGTGGTCCAACCGTCACTATGGCGAGTCGAGGAAGGCGACAGCCCACCCCACTCGCTCAAACTATTTTAGGTCTCTTCCGACCCGAGCACAACACAAGTGGTCCTAAGACCGCCCACATCATGCATGTTAACCCTCTAGTTCGAGGTAGCCCAAAGGCTGAGGCCCGACGAACATGTGACTTTCGAGACAATCGAAAGTCCCATAAACAAGTACACATGCATGTTCAAGGCTTTGAGGCCTCACCAACTAAACGGGCAGGTAACACGAGTACTCCGCCCCTCACTTCACAAAGGGTTAGCCCCATGGCTACCCCAAACATCACCATGGATGGCACACACGTGCAGGTCCCAATACGCTGCCAGTCGCGAAGAAGGACGATCGTCCGCCACTCCACCAACTTCTTCCAAGCTGCCCGCGGTGTGGTACTTGAAGAAGTTCCCTTCGAGCACCATTCTCTCCACTCCTTCATTACACGGGTGAATTAGCCCTCACCGCTGCGTGCGAAATAAGAGGACACCGTTAGCAACGACCAGTCATCCGGCCCCTCCGTCAGGTGGTCCCTAGCCACCGTCGCTACCTTCAAAATCCCTCCTTCTCGGACATCACACTTTGCCCGAGCTGATCAAGTTCGCCTACGCATCAGTTGAGCAGGCATGTCAAGAAGAAGACTGTAACAGCTTCAGGGGGAGGATCTACTGGAACCGACGGCTCAAGCAGATAAGGGGGATGGAAGTCCCGCCCCTCCCATAAAAAGCAGAGTCTTCTATCATAGAGGACTTACCAAAGAAAAATTGGTTCCACCTGTTACAAGACACGGAGAAACCCGAAACCAACGTCATGGCCCACTCCAATGTTGTTGAGACACATGAAAGCGAACCTGCTTCACTCGACCTGCAACCCCAAGGCTGTCCAGAGCAAGTAGACTAGACACGAGCCTTAGGTCATCATGCTCCCATCCAAGGTAAGCTAGAGCTCCAAGGCCTTCAAGCGTCAGGCCAGACAGCAGTCCGACCCTGAGGCCGTCTGGAGCCCATACTCATACGAGCCTGAAACAATCTCAAGCTTAGATGGGGCAAGCTTAGCCCTTGCTGTTCCTGATCGGAGTGTGAAAAGGACCAAGGTCGCTCCTCTCATTGAATCACCCGACTCGGACCAGTAAGGACAAGATGCTTTCTCGCTCTAGTAAGGACGGGACCGCGCACTCGAGGGTATTTTCTCTCTTTGAAAAAGTTTTCTCTCTCCTCTCTATAGGATTAAGGGTTCAAAAGCACAAGAAGAGTGGAAACAAGCGTTATACCTCTGTTTTTAGCGATGAAGAATGCTCAATAATCCGCCTTTTTACAAGTGACTTAAGCTTGCTTATATAGAGGATTCACCAAACAGGGGTGAATGCTCAAAAACAAAGCTTAATTACAATTAAAGAAATTAAAATAAAATCCTGAAATTAGGTGCAATAACCAAAATGGCCCTAAGACATTCTATGCTAATGACGAAACCATTCCTACTTGAGGGTCCTCCCACCATTGCCAGATCTTAGAAGCTTTTCCGTAAACCTATAGCGATGCTTCAACCGATTTGTTGTTATATCCTCAGTGCTAATTCGATTATGAGCATTTTGATGCCCTTTAATCATGCTGAGGCAGCCTTTTCCCACGTGGTGGAAGTCCGGTCCATAATCTGACTTACAGTCAGATTATGCGCTGTAACAAATCTGACTTACAGTCGATAGTCTGACTTATAGTCCATAATCTGACTTACAGTTGATAGTCTGACTTACAGTCCATAATCTAACTTACGATCGATAGTCTGACTTACAGTCCATAATCTGACTTACAATTTATAGTCTGACTTATAGTCCATAATCTTACTTTCAGTCGATAGCTTGACTAATACATAACTTGGGGAAAATTCGGTAGCACCTCCACTAGACTAGGTTTAAGCCAGAAGTATCAGAACCTTCTTGATACAAGTCGGACTCCCTTAGGGAGCAAAGCATGTTTCGGAAGTTATATATAGAAAATGAAACACTCCTAGTACCAGCCGGATTCCTATAGGAATCGGAGCAAGATTCGGAGGTAATATCTGGAAACCGAAACACTCCTAATACCAGTCGGATTTTCATAGGAATCGGAGCAGGATTCAAAGGTAATATAAAGTGATAATGCAAATCCGGAATCTGGCCTTTCTCAAACTTGGTCCTCAGTTAGCGAGTCATCAATAGACATCTCCAACAAAAACTTTTGTTTAACCATTTGAAATTGTTAGATATAAGGGGGGCCTCACCACGGTTTTTTAAACATCACGGTGGACATGAACTCCCAAACATGAAACCCAAAAACAGATAATTTGGAGGCACGAGATGTTCTCGTTGTCTTCGAAGTGTTTAAATGCCCTTATCTCGGTAAAATCCCGAGGTGCAAACGAATTCTGACGAGTACACTCCCAGGATACAGCCAGATTGGAAAATAATTCTTGAGTCTCTGAGTTGCACACTCATGAGACCCATACAAAACCACAATTACAAAATACTGATATATCTTTTCAATTGGTATTATACAAGAATCATCAATTGGACCAAGACTTCTCTCATAAGAAAAACATTATACAATCGGTAGAACACACACTTCGATTGGGAAAAAGAAGCACAAAAGATTTTTCACACACTAAATTAAAAGACAATTTTAACAAGAAAGTTACTTTAAAAATTGTGAGAACATAGCTTTAAATCAATCCTTTATCTTACTAGAGGGAGAGTCTTGAAAACTCACCCATAAAGTGGCACTCTTGAAAATATAGCTGGAAATTGCCATTAACCTCACTCCCTTCACTCTCCCAAATTCATACATCTCAATTTCTCTCTCTTGCTCAAGGCATAGTAGAGAAATAATATAATATAGGGAGGGTAGAGAAGTGGTAAAGAGAGAGAGACAGACATGGAGCATATGTAATACCAAGTGCATGGACACTTGTCCCCTATGGGAGCAAGGAGGTGAGGTCATCATGACCAAGCAACAAATTAAAAACAAATAAGAATAAAAAAAGTGGGAGGAAGAAGTGGTGGTCCATGCATACCAAAAGAACATAATGGACCATACATTAAAAAGGATTTTGACACTCTAAAAATTTTAAATAAAAAAATTAACATTGGATGCAATCATCACAATGGTTTGGAGAATTATAAGAGGCGGGTGGCCCAATTCCTTCTAGTATGGAGCAAAAATCTTCTCCTTTTTGTACATGTACATTTTGTTTTATAGTACATAACAAACAATGTGAACATTAGAAAACGAAAAAAAAAATTTTAAAAAAAAGAAAAAGGAAAAAAGGTTGGCCCAAGCCCACGCTAGCCCAATTCTTGTCAGGCTGGGCCTGACCGAGCCTAATAGATTCAACAAAACAAAACAAAAAAAAAATATAAGTCAGTCACAGACTTCATCATAAAGCTCGTTGGTATTACCACCAAAGCCCCAACCCATTCTTAGAAGTAGTAAATCAATAGAAATTTTGACCCATACCCTTTGATGAGAATGGAGTCAGAGACCTCATCATAAAGCTCAACAATACTACCACCCAGGGCCCTATGCCATTCTTAAAATGGTAAAATTAGTGGATTTGCACCTAATAGATTCAAATGAAACCAAAAAGGACAAATAAGGGAAACCACAAGGCCAAGCCCAGTGGTTAGGCCTTGTCATAGCTTCGACCCAAACTTGACCTAGCCCCCAAGTCAACTTTTGTGGTCCAAGCCCTAGTTTTTAAGGGCCAAGCCAATCGTGTTGCCATGGGAAACCCAGTTAACTCGGGACATTTTTTAAATATTTTTTTATTGACTTTCTTATTTTAACATTTCTTATTTTTATCGAATGTTTTTTCTTCTTTTTTTCTTTTGGTAAGTATTCTTTTTGGTTTAGTAGCGGTCACAAAGTTTATGTTAACCCAAGAGAGAGCATATCATAAACTTTTCTGTTTTTTAATTGTTGGTTTTTTCTTCCATGTAAGAGGGATGATGTGAACAAAAGAGACGGTATACAGTAAGACCATTTACCTTTGATACAAGGTGGTCACAATTTCTTACAATCCTTGATGTGAAATTTGATAGCTTGGATGTATCACAAAGTTCAAAACGATTCCTTTTGAAGTTTGAGCTTGGTCAATGGAATAATTGCAGCCACCTAATTTTACATCCAATTGTCAAGATTAATGTGACACCTTGTATCAAAGGTAAAAATTTTAGAGAGAGAGTTTTGTTAACAAACAATGAACATGGAAGTGCTTGCAAGGAATTCATGAATTTTGTATAGTTTATCCAAACAAGAGATTTGATGAATCCATGATAAAAATCCTTGATATTTAAAATCCATAGATTTCCTTGGATTTCATATATCTAAGATCCCTAATTTCCTCCTTTCCAAAAGGACCCTAAAAAAGAGAAACTTAATTTGCAAAGAGTGAGAGAGATGAAAGCAAATTGTTCTCCTCAGAAACCTAGAATAAATAAGCAGGCAGCATAAACATTTTGAAGTTTCAAAATGACTAATATTTTCATATAGTATCTGTCCAAGGAAGATGTACCAAAGTGGTATGGAGAGGCAAAATCTGAATGTCATGTTCAAGGAAACATCTGAAACATAACAATAGAAAAAGGGGTGGCAACTCAAGACCTTGGCTTCTCCTTCTTCTCCTTGAAAAGAGCCAATAGTGATACACCTGAAACCTTCACCACTTTGAACCTCACACCAGGAATATCTCCGACGGCATGACCTTTACGCCCAAATCCAGCAATCAATACCTCATCCTGCCAAAAACTAAAATATGATCATACAATTTAAAGCTTATCCTATAAAACTTCTAATAGAAAACAACTGTACAATCCAATGGTCAAAACCACACTGCATTTGGTGATCACCATCCATTGAAATAAAACCACCAGAACAAGGCATGACCTCAATGGTGAGCAGACATATCCCCAATGGATGACATTACCGGCTATCGTTGTCCCAAAGTGCATTAGAATAGCATCATATGCAATGTCATTCTAATAGTTTATGAAACTAACATTTTCCTCGATGTAATTCAAGCAACCATCGTTCGGGACAAAGGCTGCAATCTTCTTCCCATTTTTTATCAGCTGAACCCGAGCACACTTTCGAATGGCAGAGTTGGGCTGCTTGGCCTCAATGCCTCTACAAAGAAACAAAAGAAAGGATACACTTCAGATTCAGCATAAAGCCTTCAAAAGCAAGTATTTTCATAAGGGGGAATTCCAAGTAAAAAATTTTCACATTTTCTCGAGGACGATCCCTTTGGCATGGGAAGAGCCAGCAAATGGCTTCTTCCATTCATTACCGAGATGGCTCTTCTTGTACGACTTGTCAGCCCATTTCTGCCTTCTCCTGTGGGTCTTCAGCTTGCGACCAGCTCCCATACCACGAGTCTTCCTGTTTCAGAAAAGTCACATTGATTCTGATGAAAACCACTAACAAGAAATGCTTACACACAAACCTCCATAAAAATGGGAGGTTCAGCAAAGTGAGCAGAGAATACAATTCAATATAACAAAAGAAGAGCTTCACAAGGGAGGTTATCTACTTAGGAAACTTACATTGAGTACTGATGTACCACCTAAATGGAGCTTGGAAAAAAAATCAGAAGAGTAAGGTAGTCCTGGTTCAAGTTATTATTCTGTGCATGGTCTTAAGCCAAGTAGTATGACCCCCATTTAAATTGTCGAGGTTTCAAACCTCGAGGTTTGTCGCTTATGAAAACCAACTATTTTTTTCCTGATATCTCATGAAAACCGACTTACCCGAAAAAGAAAGAAGAAAAGAAAGGTAACAAACCTTGATCCAACAGAATGGAAACTTCCAGTAGGAAGGTCATAAGAAGCCTCAAGCATGCATCCAAAAGTTTGGCAGTAGATATAAGAATTGTCCAAGACAATTTGGTAATATTTTAACAAAAGTGAGGACCCAGCTTAGTCATGACCTTTCTTGTATCTTTTAAGCATATAGAAAAAAACTACGTTTGCATAGCAAACCCTAATGAGCCCCTCGTTAACACACAATCATTCTGAGCGATACAAAATCACAAATTGTGATGATCGTCGATCAAGCAGTCACTTGCATTTGGATGCCAATCAAAAACTATCATCAAAATCATGAATAAAAAATTAATCTCAACCAGCTCCTACCATGTGGAACCAATTTGGCATTTGAACAGCCAGAAAATATGGAGGCCGCACTTCCTAATTAATACTTTCCCAAAACCAATGATGCCCCTGGCATGCCAAAGAACCTTGAATCCATACATGCCAATATGCAATACACAAGCTCCCGTAATTATGGACATCAGCTCTCATGACAATGAGATTAGACCGCCACCAATTGACCTATTCAGGACAGGCAAAGCTAATTATTCTATACATATTTGACATTTGAACTTCGGTTTCAGATGAGAACTACTGGACTTGAAAGTGGTCCATAAAGTTGATCGAAACATCAAGCCAACATAAAACTTACCGTCAGACATAAAGATGATGCTTTCGCATGTTGCGTAGAAGACAACCCCAACCTCAAAAACACACACCAACATACCATATCTACCTCCTCAATCTCCAATGTACATTAGGGGAAGTATTAGCAATATCCTCAGCATCTACACCAGTCCTAAAACAATCTCTCACACCTAAAGACAATATACTTGAGCCTCAACTGTTCTTCTCAATGTGAGAAGCATCACCACCGAAGGCTTCTCTCTTCAAACATATGGCGTAAATGTTCGGTTTCAACAGGACCAAACAACAATAAATAAATAAAAACTGAAAATTTAACACTTTTTTCGTGAATGTCACAAAAATCTTCAGTCCAACTGGTATGTGGATAGGAATTTCTCAAATATGGCTTTGGGAAATGTGAAACACACCTTTACCAATGACCAAGCAAATATGGATGGCAATATTTTGTCAGAATGCACAGAACAAAATGGCATTACATAGGTTCTGCAACTACCTGACATACAAGAGGTGAAGGACAGGAAAGAAATTTCCAAGGATCATAAATACTCAAGGACTGCACAAAAGATCAAAATGAAAGGCAATTTGGGATGCTCATCCCCAAGGTGAGTTACAAAGGTTGATTTAAATGATTCAAAGGCAATCCAGGTGCAGACTGGTTTGGTGGCATGATTCACAATACAGACAGGAGGACAATCAAATGCTAGGCAGGGATTCCAAACCAGAATCGTGATTCTGCATTTCTCAGGATGAATCACAATTCTCAGAAGATAGGAATCACGATTCCAAATTTCTCAAATCTCGTTCCACATATTTTTTTGAATCGTGATTCCTGGAAGTTGGTAATCTAGATTCCATCTTACAAAATTTGTGATTCATAGGTGCACAAGACTGGGATTCAATGTATATGGGATCTCGATCCCAATTTTTAGGAATAGAAAATCAGTGTCCTTTGGAAGCTAGATCCACAACGCCAAAACAGGGGACTCATAGATGCATTGAACAATGCTTTAATCAACATGGAGTTGAAGTTCTAATAACACAGAATCAAGATTCAAATGCAAATTTCTAGACTTATTCATTTATTAGAAAAGTATGATAGTAATTTCTTTTGCATGTAAGTGTCAGAATCTTCAACTTTCAACTTGAGCCTTGTGGGTATCAATAGTAAGTACCTAACCAGTTCATCACCCTCATGAAATTAGAAAATTGTTTCTCACTTCTGACCCCGATGTTGAAAGGGTTTTTCAATAAAATATCAAAGCACTTGGCTCTCAAGGAGCTCGAGATCTACCTCATAAAGACTCCTTTTCATCATCAAAAGATGCATGAAAAACACATACGACATATTAGTTTGGTTTCTCACTTTCGATAGACCCTGATGGTGAAGGGTTTTACAATAAAGCATTGAAGCATATGGTGCTCTAAGAGCTTGAGGTCCACATCTCAAAGACTCTTTTCTAATTAGGAGAGGTAGTTCCTCGTTTCGTCCTCAAAACAAGCATGAGAAACACATACAACATCTTGCTTTCTTGGAGTTCTAAAATCTCCAAGAAAGTAGATACCTAAGGGACCTCAACCTTGTTTTTATTAGTTGTCAAGAGCTACTGTAAGGGCACTCAGTACACCGAGACTATTGTTAGCAAAGCACTATCAAAGACATCGATCCGAATAATTGGGGAGTCCTAGATAATCGTACTCAATATATGATATTCAAAATTCAAGTTTGTCAATATATAAAACTTTAAATCTTTTCTTGCTTAAAGCTTATGGCATGGTCCTAAGAGGATTCATGCATGATTTCCAAAACGTAGTAATATTGATTCCAAATTGATGGGCCAGTCCAATAACATAGGAATCACGATTAATATTTTATCAGATAGTGATTCTGGATGGCATTGGTCGGAGTGGATTGATGTGTGATTCTAAAAAAATATGAAATTCGAATCCAAATTGATAGGACATCAGTTACAACAAGATAGGAAACACGATTCCTTGGATCACGATTCCAATATGGTCGAAATCACACAAGTCATTTGCATTGTACAGACAACGATTCTGACCATAGTTATCATCTAACACCCTCGCTTCCGCTTTTCCGATTCCTGAAACGATTCGAAATCACAGGTGTTTCCAACAACTACAGTTAGATTCAAAATGAATCCAAGGCAATATACCATCCCTTAATCACTTCATAACCTCTAGCACTTCCAGAGATGCTTTGAATTGGCATCTGGCCAATGGCATAACATGAAGAAAACAAAAATATTAGGTGTTGCAATGAATGAACACACTATTGTGGCCTTATCATAGAGGCTGGGGTGAGGACATGACCAACTGCCATCGAAATACATAGGCCTTCCCTTATGTATAAGAAATACCAAGAAAATTTGTGGAATGGCATTCTTAAAAATCTTGATTGCAAATTAGTTGGCCAGAAATGTCCATGCCTCTCATTTGGAGGATGCATCACATTATTAAGGCTACCCTCTCAAGCATCCCCATCTCTCAGATGTCTCTCTTTCGCATGACCATGTTCGTCCCCCATAAGTTCGAGCGACTTTCTTTGAATCGATGCTGATGGGTCCCATAAATATCATCTCATTAGTTAGGAAAGGATTAAAAACATGAGGAGGCAAGCAGTGTGACCATTAGGACTTAAGAGCTTCCAACATTGCTCTTTCAGGCAAATGGTGGTGCCGCTTTGCCACACAACAAGACCTGTTCAGGCACCAACATTATGGCTCTGTGTCACTTGGCTAATTGCCCAAAGTAGATGTTAATGTAATGTCGCCAGCGGCTTGAGGAAGTATCAGCCAAATAAAAAACTTCTTCCCCCACATCAAAAAAATGGAGAACTCATAGGGTTCTAGAAAGACCATTGACTTGTCCACATTCCCTTGCATACATAGTTACAAAAATGACGACCCATAAAGTTGGTTGCTCAACCAGTACATGTAAGAATTCTAGTCCATTCTCAATCTCCTCCTACAGTATCCTCACCTATCTACTCAACAACCACTTATCATCAACAAGTTAATCTATCCATGCTCCATGAAATGTCCAATCTTTTGATTGGTTAGTGATCTTGAGCAGAGCCCTCACATTTGACCGGATTGCAGAGGAAAGGTATTTCCCTACCCAATCGATTTTGTATCTTTGAAGACGACGAAAATGCATTCTATCTCTTCCTACATTGTAAAGGCAACACCTTTACTAAAATTGTTTATAATCTAATTGGTCACCCCTGATTCTAGTCGACAGCATCTTCATGTCGTGGTTTCCTTGCCATTCATTAAAGCAGGTCTAATCCTAAGAAGACTCACTTTCCTCTGTCTTTTGATCCATTTGATGGAAGAGAAAACCATCAAACATTTCAAGCTTGGAACTCAAACTCCTGATCTCATTGAGCACACCAAAATATCTATCATCTCTTGTCTCCTGGGCTTCACTTTGCAAAGAATTTCTTTATTTTTCCTCTTCAAACTTCACTTCCCAATGAAAGCACTTAATCCGGTGCCCCCCAACCCCAAACAAACAAAAATACATGCTGCATGTCGCCACCAACCGCAGCATCATCAATTAAATATTGATGGTTGCTCCTTAGGCAACCTTGAACCTGCAAGGGTTGGTGGAGTTATTGGTGATGACCAAGGTAAGACCTTTCTTACCTACTTTGGTCTAATTGTATTGTCTACCACTAATATGGAGGAAGTGATAGGCCCGCTTATAGGCCTCATAACTTTAGACAATTCCTAGGGTTGACATTTGATATAGGAAGGAGACTCATGCAATGTTATTGTTTGTTCATCCAAAACCCCCACCATACGATTTGGCCAACTGTAGGACGAAATATTCTAACCAAGTCAAACATTGCAAGTGTCCTTCAGTCACACATGAAGAGCAGTAAACCATGCCGCTTACACATTGGAAAAAGAAACGCATCCTCAGAACCAATATTTCAATCTCTAAACAACTTACCCAGAAGCTCATCCCACAACCATTTTTATGCATACCTTAAACCCAATATTCTTCTATAGAAACTAAGTTTCTTCTGTTCAAACTTTGCGTACCATGTCAATTAGATTTTCTAAGCATCCAATTTTAAAATACTATACAAGTTATCTTTAAAAAAAATTAACTTCAAAAGAAAATTCCAGGTTTAGATAATAAGTTCTCTCCTTACCCTAGAATTGAATCATACCCAATTTTCTCGCTCAGCATAGGTTAGTATCTACGAAAAAAATTATGGCTCAATTCTCTTTGAGCGCAATGTGCAAGCAATAAAATAAATCCCATGTTTCCCTCATTGCTCTGAAGCCTATTAGGAGTTTCTCATTATGGAGGTAAGGAGGGAACACAGAAAAGTAACTGGGTGCAAACGATTCATAAGACTTCATCTAATACCTTTTGTGAATAAGGTTTCCCGAATTTAACGGATGTCACACAAACAACTGCGCTCGTAAAGCCTCAACAGGATGGGCATGATTCTAGTAATTTCTTTTTGTGATTAACATATATGATTTCTAGTCACTTCATTATTGGCTAAAATATATTATATGCATACATCTTTATAGAACATAACTTTACTATTTCTTGTGCAAACCACTTCATTTTTTGAAAAGTTTTGTACCTTAATGCATAACTGGGCAGGTTCAATTTGCAGAATGCCATTCTTCACAACTATCAATCACGCATATATGTATAAACATATAAAAAATCTAATCTAGCGGATAAGCACACATACAAGCACTCATGCATAAATTGGGTATGCACAAATACATACAACCAATGTCTAATCTAAGCATAATTAAATCCAAGCTCAAGAAAAGAAGGAGAAAGGGGGGGGGGGGGGTGCTATGCCCTTTCAATTTCCCAGGTTTGGAGTCCTACTCCAAGTTTCGGACTGGATTACCAACTATTTTGAATGAAACCAAGTCATATAGGCAATCAGAAACAATATTGGCTATAGAACATTACGTCCTTTAGTTTCACAACAAATGAACTGATACATGTTCAAACCAATAAAAAGTAAGTTTATTTGTGAGAAGGAAGTGCAGAACGAACATAACTTGAGGATGCTGACCAAAATGGTTCAAGTGACTTCATATAGGAGTACAACATCATCAATCTCATTTTCTTTGATGATATCAATGAATATGAGCACAACTCATAATAATAAAACTGCCTTCTATGGCATCAATAGGTTTAAATTTTGTCCACGATCCGAACCAGCAGGTTTTTCTTAACTAAAAAAGTAATATTGTTCAACATAGCAATAATCCCTCACAGAGCAACAATGCATCTTTTTTTTTTCCTCTCCATCATACTGCCTTCTTCTTAAACGTTATTCATCATCTTGCTACCCATAGTGAAATGGGATAGAAGTCCAAATACATGTGTGCATCTGATGTGGCAATATAAAATCAACTAGCACTCATGCTGATAAAAATGTCCAACTATTACTAGAAATAAGTCTCATTATAATTCTGCACAAGCATAATCACTACTGGTCAACAAACAAATCATTTGTTGAAATTATGAAAGCTCAATGTTCGTAAGTTGAATCATATAAAACCAACAGTGGCACTGAATGTTTGGAAGTTGCAAATAGAGAATCACACAATGAGGATTAGTAATCAGAGATAAGACACAACCCCGACTGTTAAGCAATTGCAAACACCAAGTTCCAAATTTATATATTCGAATCTTGATTAAATCCATTTATAGGAATTAATAAACCCTTCAAAGACCAAAAATCAAACATACACTAAGCTGATCTAAACAAAAGGGAAACAACGATTTCAACTACAATTTGTAAGAGGAAAGACATGAAAGAGCCAAAGCCAGAAGAAAAAACCCGCAAACAAACACTAATCCGACACTAACCAAGACCATAATTCCAAAACGCACATATTTCCACATCCAACAACGAAAGAACAGGAAAATTAATTACAAAAAGAGTAAAAAACTATGACTCCAAGATATCATCGAGTATTAACTCAATAAACACAATGAACTGATAAAATCATAAAATTACAGCACAAAGTTATTAATGAAAGAAAATAAAATGGTGGAAATTGAAAGAAGTTCCGGAAAAAAGAAAACACAGAGAAGCTTTGAGAAGAGGAAATAATATCATACCCCATCTTGGCCGGTTGGAGTGCTCCTGCAACACGAGGAAAACAAAGCAGGATAGGGAACTGCGAGTACACAGATACTGAAACCCTAGTAAGCGCCCATCATAAGGAGCTTCCAATTTTTATAAAATGACAAAAGCACCCCGAAACCCGAATAGAAGGTTGAACGAGGGAACGTACACAGTAACGGTTGTAGCAGACATTATAACGGAAATGGCATTTAACGTTACGTTAATCATTAACGCGTATATCCTCCCGAAGGATTGGTATTTTGAAAGTTCTCTTTTTTTTAACGTTATTACACCCCAACCCCATTTGTTCAATTTTTCAAATAATGACAAAAAAGTCCATACTTCGGATTTTAAAGATTAGGTTTATCAAAACCCTATAGGTGCGTAGGAGGAAAAAAAAAAAAAGACTTAAAAAATTTGGATCCCGAAAATCTTAAGTTTAGCCAATTAAATTTTGTTTTGTTTGCAAGTAAAAATTCGAATTTTCTGTTGAAGAAAGTTTTCTATTGACAAAAAAAGCATAAATAATTTGGGATTTTCATAATCGAAAGTTTTTCTATTACCACATAGAAAATTCCATCAATAACTTCGAATTTTCAAAATCCAAAGTTTGACACAACATCTTTTTAGCCTCTTTTTTTTTTTTTTTTTTGTGTCAAGTGAAAACTCCGGCTTTTGGAATCCAAAGTTTTTTTTTGGGAAAAATATCTCCATACCCTCTATTTTTACGTTTCATTTCACAATAAACTCAAGGTTTTAAAAGATATCTTGGGGCATAAAAATTATAAATTTTATTTCTTCTAACGCCCTAAGCTAATTTAAGCCTTATTTTTTAGGCCAAACAAATCTAAAAAGACATATCTTTTCTAAGAGCTTGTTTGATAACTGGAAGCAAGTTCAGGAACTGTAAATTGGAAGTTTTTAAGTTCTGTGAACTTAAGAAGTTCCTGGTTTGATAACCTCCTTGGGAAGTTACGAAGTTCCTGGTTTCTGTATTTAATAATCTCCTAGGAAGTTAAGAAGTTTCTGGTTTTTATGTTTAATAACCTTCTGGGCGGTTAAAGAAGAACTGGGTATCTGTATTGGATTAGAGAAAAGACTGGCTTTCATCCCATTAGCAAGAGTTACATTTTTCATATGTTCACCACTGACACCACATGATAAAATTGCATTTTGGTTTCCAAACCGGCCTATAATCTTTACCAAAAGAAATATCATGGGGCAGATATCATCTTGAAGTTTTCCAAAATCAGTTGCAGTCATGTAATTTTTGTAAAGCGCATATTATTTTGAAGTTTCCTAAATCAATAGCAGCCATGTAACTTATTGTTAGTTGTTTTTTTTTGGAAAGAATAGGTGCACATAGTTTCTTTTTTTACAAAGAAGTATGGACATGCGTGAAGACAAGCAAAATCCATAGAGAACTGTAGTCTACCTCTGCGAGATTTGTAGTCTCTATCTGATTCTTGTAACAATTTTTTGTTTGCACGATTTTGTGTTTTCAATATTTTATTTTTGTTCATTCACTTTTTCAATATTTTGTTTTTTTTGACAACTTTTCTCAAAATATATAGTACTTATAAACAGTGAAAAGAAAAATTCAAAATGTTTCATATCATGGCATTGGAACCAAAAAGATCTTTTCAAAAAAAAAGAAAATGCAAAATGCATAATAGAATAAATTCACTAATCTATGAACATTTCAAAATTTACATGCTATGTGGATAAACTACAAGTGAAGTTTAAGAGTCGAAAGTGCACAAAAATATGCAAGACACTTGGGGTCAAAATATTGAAACTCTATGGAAGCATTAGATGTTTTAGAAAAGGGATATATAATATCCAATGCACTACAGAAAACTATACTCCATCGGGGTAATCCACATTTGATGAAATTATGAGTGGTGATGAAGAGGTAGGACCCACCATTGTGATCATATTTTGTTCTAGATTGCTTCAGTCCCTCTTTATACCATTTATCATTTCATTGGACGAGGACCACCCCATGGAATATGCAAATGAGTAGCCATTGGATATATTATACACTTCCATTCTAGAGATGTACCAACAAATCATAACATGTAATAACTTCAGCACTGATGCATATGTATCAAGCACCATTCACAATTGATGCGTCCATGAACAGAAAACTATGTACAAAACCAACCCATTCAACAATTAACCTGTAATAGTTTAAACATACATAATTTAAAATACAACTCATTCAAACACACATGTACAATGCAAGCAATACGAAATCAACCCATAAAACAATAACCAGCAATAATTTGAGCACTACATATACTCAGCACTGATGCATTTGTATCAAGCAACATTCACAATTCATGCACCCATAAACAATAACTTGTAAGAAATCAACCCATTTAAATACACATTCACAATGCAAGCAGCATGGAATCAGTTCATTCAACAATATCCTGCAATAACTTGACCACTACTTATATTCAATGCTGACGCATCTGTATCAAGCAACATCCATAATTCATGCACCCATAAAGAAAACCACGTACAAAACCCCATTCAACAATAACATATAATAGTTTAAACATACATAATTCAAAATGCAATAGAATGAACACAACATAAAAATTTCTTATGAAATGCAGCACAATGTTTAATTATAAGTGTTAGCGACTTAGTTAGGCCTCCCACAACTGCGTCGCTATGGCATCTCGCATATTGACACCAATGTCATGATCAACATGCCCTTGAGTCAATTGCAAAAAACCATCATCTCCGACAATTACGAGTTGACTCTCAACCCTCCTTCGAAAACAGAGCTCCTTTATGCTATCGGCTCCCCGAGTCATCATGATGTAGTTTTGCAATATTGCACATGCAATAACTACATCAACCTGTGTTCGTAAAGGATACTACATTTGATTCTTCAATATAGGAAATCTAGCCTTCCAAAGTCCAAATGTCCTCCCCACCACATTTCTAAGCGTGGAATGCCGCTTGTTGAATAACTCATTGTGATTTTGAGGAGCTCGTGGGCCTGAAGTAAATTCGTTTAGATGGTAACGGACTCTTCGATGTGGTCCTATGAAACCACGAATAGTAGGATACCCACCATCTACAAGGTAATATTTTCCTGTACCATGTTTGTGCAATGAGTATATTGTAAGGCTAAATATTACACTAGAAATATTGTACAAACCGAAGCAACGAAACATAGGAAGGAATGAAGTTACCCTCAAGCACTGTAAGCCTACTGCCTTCATTACTAATTGCATCATATAAGACTTTAGAATCTGATGCGAATCCTTCCCAACCTGTAAGTACAAAATGAAAGCGCATATCGAAACCAACCGCATCCATAACATTCTGGCTTAAAAAATATTTTATCTTTCGGAAATGATTATGCAATTGACTACGAACTCGAGCAGAGACATGAGTCCCATCAATAGCTCTAACACAATCCTATTAAAAGAAAAAAATCAACATATTATATGTTAAGTCTCAATGGATGTGAGAACAATAATGTGAATTCTTGACACTCGCATACCTTGAAATATAAGTAAAATCGTAGTGTATCACTAGCAATGTGGGCCGGTGTTTCATTGCTTGCTGGTTGCAGGAACAAGGGTTCCAATTGTAAGATGGCTTGTAAAACTCTATGGGAGTAGTAACTTATGGTCTGCCCTGAATGTTGGAACCGTTCCTGGACCACCCTATTCCATTTATCTTGTGTGACGGTGCTTAAAATTATGGTTACTTGTTCATCAACTGCCAAATATCTTATATCTATAATGTTTGTCCTCTACTTTAACAAATTACATAGACTAATAAAAGCACAAATTTCCATTCGTAATTGGTCGAAGTACTTACGAGGGTTCCCTAACAGCAAGTATTGGACATAATTGGCCCCAGTAAAAATTGAAGTATGAACACACCTTCTCCTCTTTTGCGTAGTGATATACCAACATATAATGCACCACATTATATATGTAAGATATAATATTACCACCAATCGACGCTGTTGGGGATCGATAACTAGAAATAGAAGAAGGCACCCACATTAAATTACATCAATATTTTTCATTAAACCATAATATGAAAGAAATCATCCACATACATAAAGAAAACCATGAAGCAACCTTTGACATTAAATTGAAAGGAACCATCCATATACAAATGAAAGAATTTTTCCAATACATATTTATAAAATGCAAACCATAATAAGAAGAAGCCATCCACATCCATAAAGAAAACCATGAAGCAACCTTTGACATTAAATTGAAAGAAATCATCCACATACAAATGAAAGAATTTATCCAATACATATTTATAAAATACAAACCATAAAGTAATCTCTAGCAAACCATAATATAAGAAGCCATCCACATCCATAATGAAAGCCATGAAGCAATCTTTGATATTAAAATGAAATAAGCCATCGAATTATAAATGAAAGAAGTCATCCACATACATATTAATAATATGAAAACCATAAAGTAAGTCAATCAAGTATTTAGAGGTGTTTCATCTTTTCATCCAAGTAAGCCTTTCATATCCTTGGATGCGGTAAGTTTAATAACATCTCTGCCTTTATAGAATCTTGGAAGATCCTTGTCGTCATTACAAAGACATCATCACCAACTTCACCTGCTCTCCACATGTCTTCAACAATCTTTAGGGTGTCTCTCCTAACCTTGGACAGAACATCTACCACAGGAGTACTGTCGTTACCTGCGGTTTCACGTGCTTGCATTTTAATGCTATCGGAGACCTCGATCATGACTTCAGTTATGGAGTCATTGAAGGTGGGTTGCTTTGATCGGCATTGTGTTCTTATAGGAGTATGGTACCGTTGTCTTTTTGATCCAGATGATACTGGGTCATCATATGAGGATGAGCTAGATTGGACGTGGACTTCTAAGGGGGGGGTCATTAGAGAATAGAGTTTCGGGCCTTTTTGGCTCAATTGTAATGCCACCTCCAATCGATTTGTACGTCTCATTTGCTGTGTTGCCCTCATAGATCTTACTTAGGAGCGAATATTCGGGCAAAGTCTTGTTATGATATTTATTTGCCCATTCATTCTCCTACATATAAAAGATCATAAATTATTTTTAGCGATATTCGATTTAAACATATTCAAAAAATTTAAAGCCTATGCAAATTAGTAATTACATACCGCTAAGTAGTCAATCCAAACAACACTCTTGACAGTTACTATCCTCCTCCTTGCATCCCATCCAAACCTAGATACATTCATAAGTTTTTTTATGTCACTGTACATGGTTTTGAAGAACTTATACTTGCTCTTTAACCTACTTTCCATGTTTAATGACCCAAATTTAATTGTCATTGTTTCTACCATCCGTTTCCAGAAAACTTTTTTAAACACCCCCCTCCCCCCCCCTGGATACAGCCCTACTCTCCTTTTTCATAAGTTCAATGAAATGATCCTCTTCTGCCTATGTCCATTGCAAGTTCCTCTTGGATCTTATAGTCACATTCGCTATGCTTGATGACGTGTTTTGGTCCATTCTAAAATAGGGAGACAACAAATCTATTATATCTATATAATCATATGTGTGCTCTCTCTCTCTCTCTCTCTCNNNCTCTCTCTCTCT